GGGCCCCTTCCCCTCCCGCTGGGAATAAAGGCCTTTCCTGCCCGTCGGCTCTCGGCCTTGCTCGCTGCAGGTGGGTATCTCCGGTAGAGAGAGCCGGTAACGGGCAGGAAAAGCACAGGAGAGCTGCTTGAGGTCAGAACGCTCCTTCCTCGCAAATTTTCAGTGAAGTTGATGCAGAAAGCTCTGCTGGGGGGTGATTTTGGGGCTGTGTGTCCCTGGGTTATTCCCCTGCTGATCTCTGAGAGCTGCTGCAGGGCGGTTCCTGCTCTCCTAATTTCTCTTTTTATACTAAATTTTTAATTTTTTTTTTTTTTTTTCTGGCAGAAGTTTCACGCCAGCGATCAGCGGCTGAGCAGCGTGCTGCTTGCTATGGCCGGTGAGTCTGTGCTGGGTTTGCGCCGGAGGGGGGGATAAACCCTCTGCTTCCGTCCCCTCCCCGACAAAGCACGAGGGTGCCCATAGGCCAGGACGTGATAGAATCCGGGTGTCGGTGACAGCCAAGGTTTTAGGGGCTGGGGTGGATTTTGGGGGACACTTATTTCTGCCTGGAGGTGTCCCGCTGAGCTGGCGATGCTGAGGCCCCTCAAACCTCCCCGTGGTCTCTCCACCTCCGCAGGCTGGTTTAGGCGGCTCCTGCACAAACCCAAACCCAGCTCGGTGGAGCACAGCCTCAATGCCAGCCACTCTGCTTCATCCTCACCATCCTCATCCTCCGCGGGGAGCTCTGGCTCATCTCCCAGCACAGCCGTGGCCAGGCCCGTGCGCCCATCACCCGTCGTGGTGCCGGATATCAACGCTTCGGGCAGCGCTCGGTGGGACAAGAGCTACGACGTCTGCATCTGTCACAGCGAGGTGGACTTGGAGCTGGTGGAGGAGCTGGCATCCTACCTTGAGGCTCAACCCGAAAGTTTGCGGTGTTTCCTCCAGCTCCGGGACGCGGCGCCGGGAAGCGCGGTGATGACGGAGCTGTGCGACGCCGTGCAGAACAGTCACTGCTGGGTCATGCTCATCACTCCGGGGTTTCTCCGCGATCCTTGGTGTCGATATCAGATGCACCAGGCATTGGCCGAAGCTCCCATGGCCAACGGCCGCACCATCCCGGTGTTGAAGGACGTGGATCGGAAGGATTATCCCAGGGAATTGCGAAGCCTTTACTACATCTACATGGCACTGAAGGAAAGCAGCTTCCGGCAGATCCGAGACACCGTTGTGCGCTGTGAGTACTCTGGGGGATGCCAGTGAAAATTCGCTCTGGCGGGGTGGAGACCACGCAAAGGGACTGTATTCTGTAAATTGATTGAAATAATTGATTGTTTTAGACTAATTGGTCACTAATAGGATTTTTCTGCTGCAGACCTCCAGGAGCTGTGCCGGAGCTCTGCCAGCAGCATGGAGTAGCACCGGGAGCGGGCAAAGGTGTCCCCACGGGTGTTTCGGAGCTGTCACCACCCGATGTTGCCGCACCCCAACGGACCTCGGGGATGAGGATGAGCCACTTGGACCAGACTTGGGGACCCTCCCCATCATCAGCCCCCACGCCTGGGGAGGGGACAGTGGAATGGAGCTTGCCATGTCATGGTGATGCTGCCACCGGAACTCTCTCGGCGGGGACAGGGATGTCGCCGGCAGGGTCTTGCTGCTCATCGCGCAAACACTAAGCTCCAACGGCGGGTGGGTCTGGGGGGCTTCAAAGCTTCTTAAGGTGGTGTCCCCCCGGGGTGAAGACTGGTCTTGGGGGTCTCAGGTCCCCCCATGACCCCCAGTAAGCTGACATGGCA